GACTAATATGCTCTGCTATTACCATATCGAGTGGAATGTTATCCGACATAATGGAATTCCCAGCTTCTAAAAATACTGAGTGATTTTCAGATTTTAATTATTGTGGAAGTGAATGAGGACCAAAAAGATTACCATGTGGATTTTCCCCCGCTCACAGTCCCACGTCGAGTAAAACATAACTCATGGATCCATTGAATATTTCTTTGAAATTCCTAATTGTTGTCTAGAAGCCACCTACAAAATACCATCTTGTGTTCTTGGTCTCCTGGTTGTTAACCATGAACAGGTCGTAACAGTAATAATCTCTGGTAGGAGTTTATCGTTTCTCAAAGTGGAGTACAGTGATAAATACTGAATAATAAAAAATCAAAGACACACCACGACAATATAATTTCGAATAATCACATCATGGTTGTGAATTATTATCATATCAAGGGAACATGTTTTCGGAAATACGTAGGACATATGGAAATCTCAACATTTCTACCCAAAAATGGTATTTTTCTGCAACCGACACAAAAGTCGTCCATTTTGATACCAAAATTAGCTCTTAAATTGACGTTTCTATTACTGACACAAAAATAGGTATGTTGCTAGGCAACATATTTAGTTCCTAGGCAACATATTTAGTTCCTAGGAGCTGAAGTTGAATTTTAGTTCCTAGGAACAAAATATTTTTGTGTGATTTCGGGACAATCTATATACACCAGGATATACATATTTTGTCTGTTATCAATCAGCATATCAACAAAAGATAGCAAGTATTTTTTCGTGTGAATACATCAGATATAATAATTTAACTGCAATATGTTCCTTCAGTTATAGGTTAGGTATCTACTGTTTGGGTTCTCGTGAAAAATATGTATACAGTGGTTCAGAGAGAGAGTACATACATTTTCATCCCATCTCTGATTATTCCGGATTGATATACCAAGTTTCTTTTTTCGTACTTTCGGCACCCTGTATCTAAGTAAGGATGCATTTCAGGACATACCTTGATAGGAACTTTTCACCTCAAAATGAGGTGAGGAATCCGTGTACGAAGTTTGTCGATCTTATACTGACTCACTCTGTATATATCCATTTTTTCATGTTCATAATTTCATCTGAGAATATTCCTTTTCAATACTTTCTAGAAAAAATGTTTTTACAAAAATATTTATGAAAGAACTTTCATTATTTTATTTATACTTCTTTTTATCCATGAGTACGGGATTCTTTAGTTTTTAAAACTATTCTACTTATTCTCTACTTATTTTTAGTTCGGCACTAGATATCTCTTTATTTTTTCATTTATTCACTACTCACTTCTTTTTAATTTGGCTATCTATAAAAATGTGTTCCATTAGTTTTTCAAACTACTATTTATTACAATAGCTGATGCTGATACCTGGCACATGTTGTTTTGCTATATAGATTTTCTTATAGAAAATAATTTTTTAATTAAATATTCATCAACATACTTTTATTATTTTGTTTTGAACTTCTTTTTAGTTTGGATATCCACTAGTATTTCAAACTACTATTTTTATTTTCTACTTCTTTTTAGTTTGACAATCTATATCGTATTTTAAACTATACTATCAATTTTCTACTTCTATTCAGTTTGGCCTCGAGTTTGGGTATCAATAAAAGCATACGTCTTTCATTATATTTTTTCAAACTACTATTTCATTACAAAGCTCTTTCACCGTATTGGATCCGCCATCTTGAATTTCCCAATTTTAAAAAATAACATCATAATCTCCGAACCCGAAAACCCCCAGATACAGATTTTGAATATAATCGGATCATAATTACGAAACTCGTCCGCCATATTGGATCCTCCATCTTCAATTTCCTAATTTTGATAAAAGAATTATAATCTCCTACCCAAAAATCACCCAGATACAAATTTTGAATGGAATTGGATCATAGTTACAAACTCGTCCGCCATATTGGATCCGCCATCTTAAATTTCCAAATTTTGACAAAAGAATCATCATCTCCGACCCCGAAGACCACCCGAAACCAAATTTGAACAGAATCTGACCATAATTACAAAACTCGTCCGCCATATTGGATCCGCCATTTTAAATTCCCCCATTTTGACAAATGATTTATATATCCGATCTCTAAAACCTCCAATTAACAATTTTGAATAGAATCTGACCATAATTACAAAACTCGTCCGCCATATTGGATCCGCCATTTTGAATTTCCAAATTCTGACGAACGAACCATAATCTCCGACCCCAAAAACCCTCAGATACCAATTTTGAATATAATTGGATCATAATTAAAAAACTCGTCCGCCATATTGAATCCGCCATTTTGAATTTCCTAATTTCGATAAAAATCATAATCTCTGACCTCGAAAACCCCCAGATACCAATTTTGAATGGAATCTGACCATATTTACAGAACTCGTCCGCCATATTGGATCCGCCATGTTGAATTCCCCAATTTTGATGAAGAAATCATAATCTCTGACCTCGAAAACCACCAGATACCAATTTTGGATGGAATTTCACCATAATTACAAAACTCGTCCGCCATATTGGATCCGCCATCTTGAATTTCCAAAATTTGACGAAAGAATCATAATATCCTCGATAATATCCGACCCTGAAAACCCCCAAATACCAATTTTGAATGAAATCGGATAACAATACTCGTCCGCCATATTAAATCCGCCATCTTGAATTTTCGATTTAAAAAATAGATTACGACCGATTCTCATACCTACCGAATACGCACAATAAATTTCATACGAATCGGTCGAGTCGTTTCGGAGGAGTTCGACCACTAACACCGTGACCGGGACGCGATTTTACTAAATATAAACTATTGCAGCACAAGACACGCCCCCTACTACGGCATTGCAAAATATAATCGAGCCCAGCACAATCCTGCAAAATCTAATCTTTGACAGCACAACGTAGCTGATTCATATAAATAAATAGATTGAAAAAGTAGCACATACCACGTTATATCTCATCTTCAAAGTACTTTACTTAGGCAAAACTCAGAGATTATTTATCCTCAACGAACTAACCTATTTCTGATTGCAATATTTTTGAGGAAGGAAAACCGAATGGAGTGTAGAAACACATTGATTAATAATATATTTCAAAAGTTGAGTTCTTCAACAAAATTGAATAAAATGAGACTGTTTATCCTAAACGCACTAACCTATTTGACTTCAAATATTTTATGAAAAAGGAAAACCAGAATGAAGTAAAAAAACATTGGTGAAAAAAAAAAGTTGCAAAAAAAAGTTCGAGTTCACAGCGATTCGAACCATGAACCTTCAGACTGAGAGTCGACAACCCCAATAAACTTAGCAGAACCACTTCAATATTCTGGGTTTGCAATAGTACTATAATTTGTTACTAATTTAGTACTAATTTATTATCATATTCGCAAATTTATTACTCTTCATTAAACAGAAAAAACCAACGGCTCTGCTAGCTTTATGTCAACCTAGCAGAACCATAGCTGAAAATTTTATATTTTGAAAATTTTAAATATACCATAATTTATAACTATTTTATTACTAACTTATAACTATAATCACGAATTTTTTACTCATCATTTCAAGGAAAAAAACGACGATTTGTCTATCTCGATCTCAACCTAGCAGAACCAAAACTCAGATCACAAGTTTTTTGAAATTCTGTTGCATCATCGATAAGTTACTAATTTATTACTAATTTATTACCACATTCGCAAATTTCACATTTCCTTTAACAGGGAAAACCAACGGCTCTGCTAGTTCGCTGTCAACCTAGCAGAGCCATAGCTAAACAATTATTATTTTGAAAACTTCAAATATACCATAATTCATTACTAATTTATTACTAACTTATAACTATAATCAAGAATTTTTCACCAATCATTTCATGGAAAAAAAACGCCGATTGGTCTATCTCGATCTCAACCTAGCAGAACCAAAACTCAAATCGCATGTTTGTTTTTTAAATTCTATTGAATTAAAAAAATCGTCGTTTGTTTTTCCTTGAAATGATGAGTAAAAAATTCGTGATTATAGTTATAAGTATTAAGTAAAGAAATAGTAATAAATTATGGTACATTTGAAGTTTTCAAAATAATAATTGTTTAGCTATGGCTCTGATAGGTTGACAGCAAGCTAGCAGAGCCGTTGGTTTTCCCTGTTGAATGAAGTGTTAGAAATTTGCGAATGTAGTAATAAATTAGTAATAAATTAGTAACTTATCGATGATACATCAGAATTTCAAAAAACATGTGATTTGAGTTTTGGTTCTGCTAGGTTGAGATCGAGATAGACAAATCGTCGTTTTTTCCTTGAAATGATCAGTAAAAAATTCGTGATTATAGTTATAAGTTAGTAATAAAATAGTTATAAATTATGGTAAATTTAAAATTTTCAAAATATCAAATTTTCAGCTATGGTTCTGCTAGGTTGACATAAAGCTAGCAGAGCCGTTGGTTTTTTCTGTTTAATGAAGAGTAATAAATTTGCGAATATGATAATAAATTGGTACTAAATTAGTAACAAATTATAGTACTATTGCAAACCCAAAATATTGAAGTGGTTCTGCTGAGTTTATTGGGGTGAGTCGACAGCGCTAACCAGAAGACCATTTGGGTGTATGAATTTACTGCGTACAAGAGATTGACAACGAGAAAGCTTCAGTTCTTGCGTTGGAGCACAGTATGAGATATGACGTATTATGGTGGGCGTGGTTTGTGCTGCAATAGTTTATATTTAGTAAAATCGCGACCGGGACAGGAGAATTTTATACAATATACATGTATGATGAATATCAATTTGTCATACATCCAAAAACAAACTCTAACAATACTCGAAATAAGTGTAACGAATGTGTCGCTTCAATATGGCGGACTGATGACTGATGTCACTTTTCACCACTCGACAGTATTTCTTTCCTATTTTAAGTCTATGAAGTTGAGACAGGAAGAAGAAGCGTTTCACGATTGAACAAAGAACTTATTTATATGGGCTCAGAACTTACCTCGATTAACCATTTAACGAGCTGGATGAAAGGCAAATACACATTTACATCACGAACTTTTTTTATCACAAGAACACTGAGTGGTGGTTTGTACCATGTCAGCCTTTGACTAGCGGGGTCTTGTATGGTCCTGAAAAAAAAATAAAGTTAAGAGATGCGAAATATTAGATCATTTTTATCATCCCAATACAGTATCTAAGATTCCATATGATATCTGAGTAGCAACATTCAATTTAGCAAACGTGCATGTATTTTCTTCTATATCCTCCCGTAAAAGCAATCATGTCAATTATTGAAGATACATATACAGCATTCCATATGCTGAAAGAGTATGAAATATATCTAAGAACATTCCTTTTCAATATTGCATATATCTGGTATACCAAGGGATTTCAGAAAAAAAATGCTAATCCAAAGCACATTCAACTTGTGGTTGTAGTTATGAATAATTTACTATATAATTGATAGTAAAAATTCGAATGATTATTGAAAATGAAAACGTTGTTATCAGCAAATTACACCAATATCATCAAATGCTGCATCGAATTCCACGTTACCGAGCACAATGTTAAATTTCCATTCTTCCAGTTTGGTAAAATTAGAATTATTACGAGTATGTATCATTTGAAGAGGCTCATCTCGAAGTTTAACTTCTTTGAAAGGTATTTCTATACCCATGACTTGTTTCTCCAAGGAGAGAACGCCCCTGGGAGGCTTTCAATCTTGAATCTGTCTAGAAAAATGATAGTACAGGATGTCCTAAAAAAAGTCTGTAAGTTGCTGTGAATCGGCTCATTTCGACCTCAGGATTACGTGCTGAGATTTTGTACAGACCTTTTAGGGAAACCCTGTATACATTTTCAAAATTTCAAAAGGTTCACACACACGTTGGGAATCTTAGAAGAGGAAAATGCCTCTGGCATCAGAATGAAAAGTGGTACATATAAGGATTTTGAAATGTGATTTCACGGACATATTTTGATGTAATTTCAAGAGAGGTTGCTGTTCCAGCCACCCCCCATAGAAAACCCTGATGGGGAATTGGGTCGAATGATGATATGGATACCTTGTTGATCTGAGCATAAAAGATATAAGCACCAATCAGAATAATGTGCGTTGAGAGTGATAATTCGGATTTCCTTCTTTTCGAGTTGGTAAGATGGTAAAATCGTGTCGACATGGCAACCTGACACAAATGACACAAAGTCAGACAGAACAGTACTTCTATCGCAGATGAGATTTTCATGTTGTGAATGAAATCATCATCGGAACCTACCTACTCATTACTGGACACGGACTCGAGGCGATCTGATCGAAATTTATAAAATCCTAACAAATCGGTACACAGTAGACTTATCTAGCATGTTCGAAGTGAATGAGAGTGACAGGTTGCGCAATCATCCATAACATGATGAAACAAAATGTGTACGCGAATACACACCATTCAACAGATCCTTCCTTCCTGCTAACGTACTCTCAGCGCCATCCCTGAATGCTTTCAAGAATTCGTTGGACAAACATCAAAATGATTATCCACAATCCACACATATTTCCCCAACATTTCCTACTCATGTGAATTCTATGACAGGTTCATGTAGCTGAGTCAATCTTTATTAGTTATTATATCAGAATTAAACAATTACTTTCATGATTATGATTGTGTTCATGTATAACTTTAGTATGAAGAATTTATAAGCTTCTAGCTTCTACTCTTGTGAGTTTATAAATAAATAAATTGATCAACTCCGAAATAGCCACAATGCTCAGAGTGGAATGAAATGTTAAATAAATACAAAAAGCTCAAAGTCATTTCCACACAATGTTCATAAAATGAACAACAATGGTACCTAGATTTGGAGAAAAACAACTACATTCCTGGCTGATGCCACTCTGAACATTGAATACATCCTCCCGAAATCTATGCATAGATTAGCCAGGAAAGTAGTTGTTTTTCTCCCGAAATCTACCATTGTTGTTTCTTTCATGGACATTGTGTGGAAATGACTTCGAGCTTTTTGTATTTATTTAACATTTAAGTCAACTTTGAGCATCGTGACTATTTCGTAGTTGAAATTACGCCAGTCAAGTAACCAGTCACTCCCGTATGGGAATTTTGGTTTTGGAGTTTTTCTTTCCTACTTTTCTACTCGGATGGCGTTGCTCTCATATTGCCTATGGAGGACGCCTCAGAGAGAATATAATGCCGATTCGATTTTTGTTTGGCTAGGCTACGTTTAATTGGCGGTCCTAGGACTGCTGGCTGGAGACTGTCCTGCACTGATGAGAGTCAAAAAGCTCGAAACCGGTCTGTAGGTGTCTAGCGTGGCCTGGCAAGATCGAAATCAATAGACATTCAGGAATCACTTGTATCAGTATTTGTTTATACGAGTCGATGCATAGATTTCGGGAGGATGTAGAGTAGAGTAGAGAGAGTAGATGTTGTTCTCCCGAAATCTACCATTGTTGTTCATTTTATGAACATTGTGTGGAAATGACTTTGAGCTGTTTGTATTTATTTAAATGAATAGATGTCAATAAATGGAAACATGTCAATAAATGAAATCATGTCAATGAATGAAATTCGCTAGGAAATTCGTCTTCCCAATACGTGACAATACTATCGAAAATTCCGTCAGGAATCTTGAACTCGATCAAATTGCTCCGAACGATTTGATCTCGTTGATATATTCGTTATATCACAGATCATCATCGATAGTATTGTGAACACTTATGGTATTACAATCGAAAAGTCCATTGAATAAACCATATATTGACTCAATTTGAATATAACTGATCAACACTCGAAACGTAGAATCGATTTTTTTATCAATTCTGAAACATTATTTTGACTGCCTTAACTGATTTTCAATATCTAATCAGTTCAACATATCGCACCATCTGTTTTCTCGAAATGGTTTTGGAATTGTTACACTCTGTACTGAAATATGAATATTTTATAGAGAATCCAATGATGCTCTAATTTCTGTTGGGTGTGTGTGTTTGTCATTCTGGTTTAAACAGTGGTCAAAATAAAAAATCTTGAAATCATGCATAATCAACATATTTATTGATACAGGGTAGTCCCAAAAAACAATTATGTCACTAATTACAAAAAAACGTATTGAAAACTCGTGTTAATTGTAGCGAACAATTAAAGTTCGAAGTCATCTCATTTCAGGAAATCGATCGAGAAGTTTTCTGGCAATAAAAGCGTGTATGAAAAGGTGTCCCTAGTCCAAGAGCCGGCTGCAAATTTCGACCGTCATCTGATAACGAAATGATATACCGGGTGACACAGGGTATCGGGCCACCCCTGGAACTCCTGCATTCGTCAACGGATTTTTCTGAAATTCGGTACAGTTATATAAGCAATTATTTCGGATTTGATCACATTACAATCCAATATGGCGGACTTCCGGTATTTCTGAAAATGACAGCAACTTTGTTTTTTCAAATGAAACACCCTGTATATTTTTACATATTCAAGTTCAACAGGTCGAAACAAGTGCAATCTTTATTTCAAATGTAATTTTTTCGAAAAAATTTAAATTAAAATTGTTTTTTCATTCTACCTCGTGGATAAATGAGATGTGGTCAAGACTATTCACAATGAGTCACACATAACAGAAGAACATCATTTTTTCTGAAAAATTATTTTTTGTGTCACTTATCCAGGAATCAATTCAGCCACATCACTTTTTGATCAAAAATTATTTTTTTTTCAAATGGAACCCCTATGGGCCACCTACCCGTCTCTCTAGATCTAGAACATACATTAAGGAACAAAATGTCATATCATTTTTGTTTTTCGGTGCAGTAACAAATTGAATACATTCAAAAATCAACAACTAGTTTATGAATTTCCTTGCATTTAGAATAATTTTTCAACTAGGTAGGCTGTGGAATAAATGACATTTGACATCAAGATTGCACTTGTTTTGACCTGTTGAACTTGAATATGTAAAAATATACAGGGTGTTCAATTTAAAAAACTAAATTGCTGGCATTTCCAGAAAAACCGGAAGTCTGCCATATTGGATTGTAATGTGATCAAATACGAAATAGTTGCTTATATAACTGTACAGAATTTCAGAAAAATCCGTTGACGAATGCAGAAGTTACAGGGGTGGCCCGATAACCTGTGTCACCCAGTATGTCCCAAAGGTATTCAAAACCATTGTAGATTATCGAACGGCACCTTTGCCAGCACTATCCTGAGCAAAATGATTGAAAAATTACACTTTCCTGTGCGGAAATTTGCACTCGATTTCGCGATTTGATAACTAGATAAGAGTTATGCCATCCGATACCAATTGAATGGTAGATTGCAATGTCTTTTTGTCAGAAACATCTGTGTTCTGCTTCTCATTATGTTATGAGTTGGGTAGAATGAACCATGAAAACATAGTAACATTCAAGATTTCCATCTAATGATGCATAAATACATAATGCTTGAAATACCTAAAATCCATGAATTTCTCACTAGAATTGCACCAGCATTACGAATCACTGCAATAAAATAGGTCCGGACCCATATATTTCCTGCAATGCAAGGAATGACAATGACTTTTTTTTGCATAACGGCTCTGATAATTTCAAATTTTTGTTAATTTTTTTGTTGGTGTTAATTTCACTAGTTTAGGTTTTTGAAATCTACCAATTGAATGGTAGATTTCAAAAACCTACCAGTCGTCCTCTTAGAATAACAAGGTTGTAACTACCTTTTTCACCTGAAATCAGATAATAGCATATCAAGATTCTATCTGCTGTGTTGCGTACATCTATCCACCGAAGGCTGACTTAGAAGCATCATAGGGTTCTCATTTTCATTCAAGGCGCATTCCCACTGTTTGAAATTGTACTTTTTGTGAGATATCTATCATGAATATAAAAATAAAGATATGAATGATGGGAACGTCGATTTGGTTGATAAAGATAATATAGTTTCCATATTAGATGATCAAGTGGCACTTACAACTATGTTAAGTCACAATATCAATTCAAGTGTAAAGGAATATCACAGCCTGATGATTTTTAACAGCACAAAAATAGATATGTTCATTGAAAATCGAATAGTCATTCAGTTCACCAACACTTACGCGAATATTCAGAATAAGCTGAGGAAATTTC